ATTGAATTAATTCTTGTTAATTTGTTAATTCAAAGTCTTAGTTATTTGTTTGGATGAGTAAAGGAAATAATTACTTTTTGTTGATTCAAATTCTTTATATTAACTCAACTAATTTTAAATAGTTAATTATAATTATATAATCAAAGAGTAAAAAAATAAATTTGATATTCACTTTTTGAATTTTTGTGTTTGTAAAATACTTAATGTACTTTACTCTTGTCAACCACCTGAATATTTTATTAGTGATTTGTTAAATATTGATCGGTGTTTTTGTTATGTTATTATTATTATTATTATTATTATTATTATTATTATTATTATTATTATTATTATTATTATTATTATTATTAATAAAAGCTATTAGAAAAAAGAATGATAATTCATGCGCCGGTCTTGGATAGTCTAATTAGGATTAGAAAAAAAAAAGTTAACAATATAACTTCCTTAGGTGAATTAAGTTCCTACATATTACAGACTTTGAATTATTGCAAATAAGGAACATTTTAGTTGATTTGTAATTTTTAAATATTAGAAAAATAATTAATTTATAATTACAATTTTATCCAATGTGAAACCTATTCTAAAGGGGTAAAAAAAGCGAATGATATTTTGATAGGGGCTTTGCTTTTAATAAAAAATTATGTTCTATTTTTCTTTTAACCGTGTAAATCGAAGTGCATTTCATAATTCATATCAGACAAAATTGTAATTAAACACAATATATTTCTCTTTTATTTAAATTAAAAATAGCTAAATACTTTAAAGACAAAATTTTGTTCCTTATTAAAAAGATAATTTTCTTTTTTAACTACATATAGGATACTTTTTTCTAAAAATTATTTCGAAGGAATCATATTAACAATAAAAAATTTTAGAGGTCCTTTGCTACCCCTTGGTTGTGAGACGAACATAATTCAAAGGCAAAAGTAGACAAAATTTCCTTCATACGTATTTTGAAGGAATTATAGTTTAATTCAAATTAGCTTTTTTCCTCTAAATTTTGGAGTACGTCTTTTATGGTAAAAGGATATGGAAAAGGCCGTAAATTTTAATAGTTCAAATTATGAGTTTCTATATGATTCAAATTAGGAAATATTTTATAAGCAAAATTTTATTTAATTTAAAAAATCCTTTATATTAGGAGAATAATTAAATTACAACTTTGTCTTATGTGAAAGTTATTTTTAAAGGGTAAAAAAGGTTTCGCTACCTTTAATATAGTATAGATTATAAATAATTTTTCTAACTTTGTAGCGCTAGGGTGCTTTTGTTAAAAAACATTCTTTACCCTTTTCTCAAGAGAGGTTCTCATATACTTAAAATACCTAGCATAATTATATTTAGTAATTGTATACATATTAATTTTTGAAGCATTAAATTCGAAAATTAATTTTTTTTAAAATTATTATGTTTGGATAAGGTGTTGTTGCGAATGATTGGAAATGTCCTTTGAAGTTTATATCTCAATTTTTAGGGATTTTGGTGAAGATTAGAGTTGATTTTAATTAAAATATCAGATTGAAACTCGGAGAGGAAGAAGAACACATGACATACAAAGTACATACAAATGATATATAAAATACTTAATTGTAGACAAGTTGTATACAAATTATATGAAAGTTGTACGATGTAATTGTATGAAGCATGACTGACTAACTGCAGGTGACCACAAGTTTGTAGATACATCAAAATTGCATGACAGTTGCATGAAAATTATACAATATTGTGTGAAATAATATCGAAATAAATAGATTGTTATAGAGAGGTTTGATTGTATATTAATAGCGGAAGAAAATTAGTAGCAATGACTATAAGTGACATTTCAAAAAAGGTGAAATTAGTAATTTTCATAATAATATATATTATCTGTTAGAATAGTTTAAAACACATTGATAGTGTAAAAAAAAATTCTTGTCATCTAACAAAGCTAGGAAATCTAAGCTCGTTGTAATCAGTGACAGATCTACATGGACACTTGTGGGTGCTCAGCATCCATTACCTTTGACCAGATTTAGTAAATTTGCATAGGCAACTATAAAAATATTTAGATAAATATTGAGCGAGCGCCAATATTAACTAAACTCCTTTTTACTCTTTTTTTGGAATTTTTATTTCCGAGCACTCGTGACTTTAAAATCGTGAATCCACCACTGCTAGTAACTCAAGGAATCTTAAACAATATTGTCACTATTGATATTTTCTACTTGTAGCATCGAAAGAAGATGAGAATAGAAAAGATTGATAAAAGAGATCGAATATAAGGGTATAAAAAAAGAGAGAAGTAAAAGAAAAAAGGCTTAGATTCTTGGAATGGCACAAAAAGACATGAAGTAGATATTTAGAAATACTCAAACATACATACTATAAAAATCATAGCGAGCTGCAACCTTTGCTCATGTTCATCGAGTTCATGCAAGAAATTGTATCAAAAGGAAGAAATAAATCTCATTTAAGCAAAAGTGTTAGGATCAAAATGTCAAGAGGAAGAGACACATTGGTACTTGGTAGAGTGATTGGAGATGTTTTGGATCCATTTACAAGATCAATTAACCTAAGAGTGGTTTATATTAATAGACAGGTTATTAATGGTTGTGACTTTAGGCCTTCTCAAGTCATTCAACAGCCTAGAATTGAGATTGGAGGGGCAGATGATTGCACCTTTTACACTTTGATAAACACTTTGTATTCATTTTATATATCACTCTTTTCATCTTTCTGTTTTTGTCTATTCTACGAAGAATCATACTTTTCTGTATTGAAACCACTATCAGAAATTTTTCCGACAGACTTTTCTATCGGAAAGCTTAGGTTTTCGACGGATTTCGGATGGACACGTGAGATTTGTGTCTTTCACTGTGATTTTTTATTTTACCTTTAATAACATGTTCTTATAGCCATGGAAATGTCATAACATATTCTTGGAGGGGCAGATGTTTGCACCTTTTACACTCTAGTAAATATACTATATTCATTTCATATATCACTCTTCGTCTTTCCATTTTTATCTATTCTGCAAATAATAACACCTTTCTGTATTGAAACCCATATTAGAAATATTTCCGACTGATTTTTCGTCAGAAAGCTTAGGTTTTCGATGAATTTCGGATGGACACGTGAGATTTGTGTCTTTCTATCTGTGATATTTTTATTTTACTCTTAGTAACATGTTCTTATAGCCATAAAAATATCATGACATGTTCTTGGAGGGGCAGATGTTTGCACCTTTTAAACTCTAGTAAACATCCTATATTCATTTTATATATCACACTTTTCGTCTTTCTATTTTTATCTGTTCTACGAAGAATAACACCTTTCTGTATTGAAACCCATAATAGAAATGTTTCTGATTGACTTTTCATCGGAAAGCTTAGGTTTTCGACGGATTTCGGATGGACACATGAGATTTGTGTCTTTCTATCTGTGAACTTTTTATTTTACCATTAATAACATATTCTTATAGCCATAGACATGTCATGACATGTTCTTGGAGGGGCAGATGTTTGCACCTTTTACACTTTGGTAAATATCCTATATTCATTTTATATATCACTCTTCTCGTCTTTCTATTTTTATCTGTTCTACGAAGAATAACACCTTTTTGTATTGAAACCCATATTAGAAATGTTTCCGACTGACTTTTCGTCGGAAAGCTTAGGTTTTCGGCGGATTTCGGATGGACACGCGAGATTTGTGTCTTTCTATCTGTGATCTTTTTATTTTACCCTTAATAACATGTTCTTATAGCCATAGAAATGCCATGACATGTTCTTGGAGGGGCAAATGTTTGAACCTTTTACACTTTGGTAAACATTCTATAGTCATTTTATATATCACTCTTTTCGTCTTTCTGTCGTTATCTGTTCTACGAAGAATAATACCTTTCTGTATTGAAACCATTACTAGAAATGTTTCCGACGGACTTTTCATCGGAAAGCATAGATTTCGATGGATTTCAGACAGGGACGTGAGATTTGTGTCGTTCTATCTGTGATTTTTTTATTTTACCTTTAATAACATGTTCTTATAGCCATATAAATCTCATGACATGTGTAACAACACAGGTTCTGATGATACTTTTGGTATGTGCAAATAGTTGTTTCTTTCATTCTTAAAATGTTGTGTCCGATCAAATAACATCATGTAAAATAAGACGGAGGCCAACCATATACCATTTTTTCTTGTTCCATGCACTAGTTGTACACAAGCAAGTGTAAAATCTAGGGTTTCATAATTTTTTATATAGTATTCTTATTCGGGAAACATTTGTCAAGCTGGACATGTTGAAATTGCTCTCCACATTTTTTATTGGAAGGTAATGGTGGATCCTGATGCTCCAACCCCAACCAACCCAAACATGAGAGAGTATTTGCACTGGTTAGTATATTGTTTGTCGATTTATAAATTTGTATATACTGACAGTTTAGTTTTTACACTTTAATACTAAAATGTTCGTTTTACTGTTCTTTCTTCTGGTGGGGATGGGGGGAGGTTGAGGTCTAGGCTCTGAGGGTGCAAGGTAGAGCTATGTGTATTAAAGGGGTTCACTTGAATTCCATTCGTCAGAAAAATATATTGTACTAAAAATACTAAAACAATCTTTTTTTGTGCATACATAAATTTTTAAATCTCATAGAAATAAGCTTTTAATTTAATAAAAGAAATGGTGGCATAGGAATATCACTTTAGATTTCAATTGTTGTCTCGTCATATATCCTCACCTATGGTGGACCAATACATTATTCCAATATATGTCGGATTTCTCTGGTAGCTTTATATACCACAATGTAATTTTGCCCACTAAAATAGTAAGAATAAAATCAAGGGCAAGATCACTTTTAGTTCATGATGGAAATTATTTACATTCGATAGGCGCAAAAGTGTATAAAATTTGTATGTTCTTTGTATATAATATACAAAAAGGTATATACATATAATTAAAAAAATTTACAAAATATACACAACTTTCAGCTATTATTTTTAGAGTGGCTATATAGTGTCATTTTCTCAAAAATAAAATACTTCTTATCTTTTTGAATTAATTTAAATACTAATTTCTCATGATTTTCACGCACTTTATTAATTGTTAGACTACACACTTCAACATTACTATTTTTGCAACTACATCCCTCTTTCTCTCTACTGATTGGAAATTTGGATGGCAATTTTCAGTAGCTATCGCACATATATTCACTTCAATCCGATCTTTTTGCGTCGAGTATCTTGGGAAGAATGGAAATCATAATAGAATGGTCAACATCGACTTAAAAAGCACTAAAAAAAAGTAGAAGTATTATCATTTTTAGCCCGCGCTAAAAATTATTTGTATCTGGCAGCCGAAAAAGTGCATAAAACCTGTATAATTTTTGTATATAACATACAATATATATATATATATATATATATATGTATATATATATTTTACAGCGACTATACAGTGTCATTTTTCCAAAAAAATGTAGCTACTTCAAAAGTAAGAATTTGACATCTTTTTTAGAAATTTGTTGATACCCAACCCCATTTTAAGTTAACTAGTATTAGCGTACGCGCTTTGCGCGTGTACCCCATCTCACTAAAAAATATTTATTTAAGTTTTTCTTTGAATTATAAAATAAAAATATAAATTCCTGAAGATGATGAATATTGATTTTGTATAGTTGATAATATTTTATTCAATAAGAATCCTTTTTCAAGTAGTAAAAATCGATTAGGTAAAAAATTATCCATGCATGACATGTTCCAAAAAGAATGAAAATTCTTTGCAGATCTCAAAGAATTAAGAATCACTTTTATACCGTAAATAAAATTTACTATCGAAACGCCTTTTAAAAGTCATAATAATTGTAGTCAAGAAATCTGTTTGGCTCAAAAGTTATTGATGTACTTTGCGAGCTTAGAAACAATCAAAAGTAGGAAAGGGTAAATCGTAATCAAATATAATAGACCTAGAGATGAAAAATGAAGTTGTTGTTGTAGATCTAATAGTGTAAAATGATAATATGAACTCAAGAGAAAGTATTCGTTAGAGATAGAGATAGAGAGAGAGTAAGAGAAAATGAGAGAGTTGTATTATTTCAGAATGCCCCTTTTACAATGTGAAGGTCTCCCTTATATAGTAGGAGACCTCCCTCGAAATAATCAAAAAGATACAAAAATAGGTAACGTTTTCCTAGTGAAGACACTGAGCCTTAAACGATGTCGCTTTTGTTCCCACGCCCAAGCCGTACCCTTGCGTTAGTTGACGTATACTCATTGGGCGTACCCATTGGCGTAGAGACGTTGACGGTCAAATTCGACCCTATACAGTTAGTCCCTCCGTTCGTCGGAGACGCATTCGGTAGGCGTCTTCAATGGCCGGAAATGCAAACCTCGTCTTAGGAGAATTTGACCTCGACCTGGGGCGGCAACGTGCATAAGGCGAAATGTACGACGTTGTTGAGCCACTGACGCGTGGCTTCCTTTTCGGAATGACGTCATCACCTGTATGCGTCACTATTATACTTACTCCCGAGGCGGTTCAAAGGATGATGTGACATTTTGGTTTCCCGCGCACGTTTTGAATCATGACTCTTCGATTTCTGCGCAACCTAACCCTATAAATGGGGGAGAGGTTCAATCCGATTCATCTTTCGAACCTTTATAAAACATTTTCTGGTTTGCTTCTTTGCCTTTCTTTCTTGTAGCCGTTATTTCGTGTGAGACTCCTCCACTTCTTTGAAGTCATATTTCTCGTCGTTAGTGCCTTATTTCCCTAACAGAATCGCCATGGTAAAACATCATCAAGGTGGTAAAAAGACCAAGGACACTGACCCATCTAGGGTTCCGCCTTCCTCTGGCGGTGAGGAGGAGGAAGTGAAAAAGACCCTCGTTCCCCTTACCGTAGACAACGTCCTCCCAAAGGAAATGCATATTCGAAAGGATTTTCAAACGAAAAGTCCAGCCCTTCCTTGGGAGCATAGTGTTTTACTGCAATCTCATCTAGACAACCTTCGAGCGACACACAACATTCCTGACCATGTGGAAATGGCTCCGGCTGGGATGGATTATGCCAATGTGCATAGGCCTGGGTACTGCACATTTTACGAGTACCCGTTTTTGATCGGTTATAGTCTCCCGATTTATCCTCTAGCGGAGGAGCTTTGCTGTTTTTTTAATTTTTGTCCGGCTCAGCTCACTCCTTACACCTTGAAGGTGTGTAGGATTCTGACCACGTACGCAGCTAAGGCTGAGTGCGACGTCTCAGTTCCTCACCTTTTACAGTTATTCAGCCCTGGTTACCTAAGGGGTACCATATTACAATTGAAAAGCCGTGGTACGAAGGGTTTGGTAGTTAAGTCTGACGACAAGGCCAACCGCCTCTTCTGGCGTAGGTACTTCTACATCAGAACGGAGCATCTGGTGTCTAACCCTGAAGGATTCCCGGAAAGATGGAACCCAGAACGTGAGTACCTTTATTTGTAGAATTCATGACTGTTCGTGACCTTGACCATTCGGCCACTGTGAGTTCTTTCTTTTCTTCTTTTTTTTTTGTAGCGAGGGCTTCTCCACCCCAGTTTATTGACAGTATTAAATCGTGGGTGGAAAGATTGATACCTTATGCGGAGGAATGCCGTACCTGGGCTGCATTTCTTCAACAGTACGGCCCGTCAGGTAATTCTTCGGCCTTGGTTTGGAAGTTCCCTTAGGTTTTGTTACCTGACTTACTTGTGTTGGCAGGTCGGAGCGCCCCCAAGAAAAAGAAGGCTGTTGTTACCTCGCCTAGGGCGGAGACCGACTATGATGGCGGAGACATACCCTGCGGCTCGTTCAGTGATGGCGCTCCAAAGGTTCCTCAGCAGGAGGTTGCGCCTATGGCGGCGTCCGCAAGTGAAGCGACTCCTTCAGTGCCGTCCCCGCGGTCTATGGAGCAGACTTCTGAAGGTGAGGAGTTGCCAGAGAGAAAGAGACGGCGGTTGATAATGGGCAAGGGGATAGCGACCGAAGACGAGAGGGTAAGTGAACCCCGTTAAGTGTCGAGGCCAGTTTTTATGGCTGATGCTATCCGTTCTGGGAGGTCGGTTCCCCAAAGGAGAGTTGTTGCCGACGCCAGCCCAGCCCGTGTTCCGGAGAGCGGCTCGTCGGCTGCTGTTGGAGAAGCGGGCGATGGTGCCGAGAGGACGGATACTAAGGCCGCCCGTGGAGATGCAGATGGGTTAATGAGGGGTCCAGCCTATGTGGAGATGACGGCGGGTAGGTCTAACCGCCGAATTATGATCCCAGGAGGGTATAACCTGTTACAACACAGCGAGCAGGCCGCAACGGATATGACCCTGTTATGTGCGGCTGCTGAGCGTGAAATGCTGAAGGGTGTTAGTGACGGGGATCTATCCCGGAGGGTTGCTGGCGCGGCCTTGTAGGTAGCTTTCAGTTTTCTTTATGTGCCGTAAGGCTAACTTTGATGCGTACTGACTTGCCTCTCCTCTTTTTCTTCTCCTTTTTAGACTCTCATTTTGGAGGTGGAGAGGAGGCGGCGAGCGTAATAGAAGGCAGCCACTTTCAACAAGATGGCGAAGAAGTACCAACGGTGCCGTGCCAAGCATCGGGCGCTGGCGGACCTACTTAAGCAGGACCCAGAATTTCGGGTGTTCCGTGAGGGCCTTGAACAGTCGGAGGCCTAACTGAAACGGAGGGTGGCCGAGCTGGAGCAGGTCGATGAGCAGCTGATGACTGCTCTGGCTCGGAACATTGAGCTGGAGACTCTTCTTCAGTCGAAGGAAGAAGAATTGGAGGTTAGCCATGGGGTACCGGTGGAAGCTGCTGATTTGCGAACCAAGGTCGCTGCTTTGATCGCCGAACTCGATGCCAGGGCGTCTGAGATTGAAGTCCTTAAGCGGACTGCTGCACCTAGGCCTGATGAGGATGCGCATCGTGAGGCGCATGATATGTGGTTATACGCCGAGGCCAGATTAGTCGTATTCGAGGAGTTCTTAGCTGCGGGTCGAGCCACTGAGGCGGAGGTTCAGGAGCAACGGCGCGTAGCCCGCGTCGCCCGCGAAACCTGTGGGTATAGTTCTGACTCCCCAGACCGGGCGGGCTATAACTCCGAAGACGTCAACCGTCTAGAATCCGGCTCTTGGATCTCTGCAACTTATCAACCCGGGAGCGGCGATGAACAAGGTGGCGGTCAAGCGGGGGACGACGGTCGAAGCGGCGAAGCCTCTTAGGACTTGTAGCAATTTTGTTTTGTTGTATTTTGGAATGTAAATGGGACCTTTTGTAAGGTCAGGTGTACATATATTTTTTGAACGATAATGAAAGTCGTACTTTTGCTGTCATTCTTTTCCTTTTATATCTTTTATTTTCGGTACCTCGTCTCCGCAGAGCGGGTGTTCACTTAC